TAATACTACTTGCTTCACTTTCTGATAATGGATTTTTTTTTCGAGTTGTAAGCCGAATCCATCCAGCTTTTATTAATAAAGGTGGTAGTTGAGCAAGAAGACTTGAATAATTTTCATGAAATTCCATATAATTATATAAAAAATATTTTCATATAATATTATAATCTTTCAAAAAATATAAAAAGCATCCTCACTTCGTGAGAAATTATAATCTTTCAAAAAAATATAAAACCACTCAACTATTTTAATAACAGTTACCGACTTTAGACTTAAAGGGGAATCGAAGATTCGATGCTCTGCATCATCATTGCTTTGCAATATATATTAATATTTTTATAAGACTATGACCTTGAGGTCACGTACTACATTACACAAGGCGCAGTATATAGCACAGTAGTCACATGATATTGTGACCTATGGGTCACATACTACCAATTTAAAATACTAACAAATACCAACTTGAACTATTCCATGAATTATGATATATGAGATACATATTCATTTTGATACTTTTTTGAGAGCTTAACACTTAAAGCTCTTTGTTCAGCTAACTCTGAAGATATTCCATTTGATACAAAATTTTTATATGCTTGTATACACCAATGACCATATGGCAAAGTAGTTATTTTATCAAATAATATCTAACGCTTAGTATCTATAGGGCAAAGAGCCTTCTTTTCTGATTCAATCAGAGATAATATATGGTCTTTTGAACGAATACCCACATTTTTGGCATAGAATACTTCCTTATTAAAGAGACAGTCCCGATATACTAGGATTATAGGATCTGCCTCAGTTCGCATAGCTTCTTGCTCTGATAATAATGATCTATCTATCGGATCATCTAGCAAGGACCCTTCTAAAGCTGGCATGTATGAATTCATGGCCATTTCATTTATACTTTTTTTACTAACCCCCTTATGCTTAGACTTTGTAGACTTATCTGCTAAGACATAGTGATATGATTTAGCCCGAATATGATAAGATTCTGTAATCATATTGCCTGGAGTCTCATCTTTAAAAAGCCCAATAGTCTTAGAATCATTAAGGTCGAAAAGATCAGGTCACTCTGCCATGTCTTTATAGATATCTTTAGTTTCAACTTGGAATATGAATGAGTCTGTATTCATATATCCAAGCTGGGCTTTATCACCATATCTTTCTTTTATATATCCATACCAGAAGCGATACATTAAAAGTTTGCTAAGGCCAAGAACTGATGCTCTGACAATAATAGGCTTGTTGAGAGTTACACTAGCTTTTCCCATATGTGCCCCAACAAGTGTATTTCCAAGCTGTCTAGCATATTTAAAAGAGGGTTTACGGATTTGGTTAATAAATTTCTTTTCATCTTGCTCATTATTCATAGCCATAAGCTTGACGTCTTGGTATTTGCGAACATTTTCTATAGTTTTGCCATATACTGAATTATTCATGAGCTTAAAGAAATCTTTCTCAAAAGCATTCTTAGCACCTTGTCACTTTTCTGTATTAAAAGCTATATAGGGTGCGAGCCAGTTAGTTTGATCAAAAGATAAGATTTCTATTACCTTATCTA